AAGACAACACAGCTGCACTAGCTGCTAAATATGTGTTAGCCATTCACAATGTTAGATGTTAAACATGATTAACTCCATACTGACTTACTTTATCTTTTCATTTATTTAGATGGATGTTTTTTATTATTATTTATGTTGTTATTTATGTTGTTGTTATATATATATGTTAATGCTTTGGCAGCATTGTGTTACACAGTCATGCTAATAAAGCTTAATTGAACTTGAATTTGAGAGAGAGAGAGAGAGAGCGAGAGAGAGAGAGCGAGAGCGAGAGCGAGAGAGTGAGAGTGAGAGCGAGAGAGTGAGAGAGTGAGAGCGAGAGAGAGCGAGAGAGTGAGAGCGAGAGAGAGAGAGAGACTCAGAGAGAGAGCGAGTATACCTTTCTATCAACATGATCTAACGTTATCAAGATGAATTTGTTCTGACACAGTTTAACTTTGAGTTCTTGTCATATTTTATTACCATTTTCTAAACTCAATGAAAATATCGGTATCGGTACTCGGTATCGGCAAGTACCAAAAAGAAAAGTAACGTTATCGGGCGAGTACTGGAAAAAGTGGTATCGGTGCATCCCTATTTCTAATATATGATACAGTTAAGTAATATCACATAAGCAAGAGTGCCGTTTTCCTGACTATCAGCGTAGGAGCGCGATCGCAAATGAGATATTAATATATACAACAGTTCAAAAAACAAGAAGTTAATATTGAGAGTTAAATTTTAGACACTATATTATCTGTTTTTTTGTTTGTTTTGCCAACGAAAATAGTTTCAATCAAAGCCGGAGCCGAACATTTGTGCATCTCAGAGCAACACTGCAGTGATTCCTTCCTGAATGAACAAATCATTTGAGTCAATGATTCAATGATCCATTTATAAAGACAGCCACTTGGTTCGTTTCTAAATGAATCCATTTCATAAGCCATTTGAACAAATCGTCTGAATTAATGATTCAATGACTCACTCGTTAAGACAGGGACTCACCGCCACCTACTGGCAGTTTTAGTGTCATGTTTATTTATCCTTGACAGAGATAAACCAGCACAAAAACACACTCAGCAAAATATAATTTAATTATCATTATCAAAAAAAAATATCAAGATATAATTTTTCTTTTGTCAGTATCGCACAGCATTTACGCAATTATGGCTGAAGCTGTGAGCGGGACAAACACTCCTGATGTCTGAGAGCGGCTCACCTGCGTCTGTCTCTGTCTGTCTGTGAACGTGTCTGCCCTGATCCTCTGACCTCACAATGTTTACACACCTGAGAGAGAGAGAGAGAAACAGACTTCAGCGTCATCATGTGACTCTGAACGGATTAATAATTCGATTTATGACGTCAAATAAAATCATACTAATCCTCAAATCTGTTCGGTCACATCTGAAGTTCAAAATCAATAGGTGTGTGAAAGACGAAACATTCGCATCTAATTCCCAAAATGGATCAGTTGCACACAAACTCATTAAATATCACACCAGACTTACATTTTGAGTCAAAGTACCAACATTCTTCAATCTTTAGAATATGCACTACTCTCTTCTGCTCACAAAGACTGCATTTATTTGATCAAACATACTATAAAAATTGTGAAATATTATTAATTTTTAAAACAACGGTTTTCTGTGTGAATATCTGTTAAACTGTAATTTATTTCTGTGATGCGCAGCTGAATTTTCAGCATCATTACTCCAGTCTTCAGTGTCACATGATCTTCAGAAATCATTCTAATATGCTGATTTGCTGCTCAAGAAACATTTCTGATTATTATCAATGTTGAAAACAGTTGTGCTGCACAATATTTTTGTGGAAACGGTGATACGTTTTATTTTTCAGGATTCACGGATGAATAGAAAGTGTGTTAATTATTAGCACACGGATCTGCTGCTAGAAACATGATGATCAGGTTCTCTGGAGAAACAGCATTATTTGCAGATGTTGATGTTAGCGGGTCGTGTGGATCTGATCGATCTCTCATCCAGAGCCGTGTTTTCTCTTCTGCTAATGAATCTCCATAACCTCCTGCCTCTCTGCAGTCGATAAACGTTGGAAACGCTATCCATCTCTGAAATCTCACTCCATTCACTTACTGTAAAGCTGAAGATTTGTGCCCACAGACAAGTGAAAACAAGACGGATGTTGAATCTCCGTCAGTCTGTTTCAGATGAGTGCAGAACTCACGTTACGTACTGTTTTGGCAACCGATGACAAACAGCAGAGCAGCTATGAGACCAGAGACACAGAGACAGCAACTAAACCACTGCATCCAACAGCGAAAACACACTGCTTTGTGTTCTGATGTGAAGCTGTTTTAAGACGAGTCACTCAATTAACATGAATCATCTGATCTTTACCACGTTTCCATCATGTCCTAAATAAAAACAGAAAATAATCAAGCTCCTTTTGTTTGTAAATCACTGGATCATCATCATCATCATCATCATCAAAAAAAAAAAAAAAACACACATTTACCACATTAATAATTAATATATAAACTATATATATAAACTACTCTTATCTATTACTATTATTATTATTATTACTAGGCATAATTATTTAATATTTAATACATTTAAAATAGAAAATATTCCTTTATTATTATTATCATTATTAATATATTGTTATTTAATAAAAACATTGAGTAATATATTTAATACAGAAAATATTGTTAGAGATTAATTTGTATTATTATTGTTGTTGTTGTTAATAAAATGATTAAATATATAAATGATTTGTTATATATAATAATAATAATAATAATAATACAAATATATTCCTATTTTATACTTAATCGTGTAATATAGAAACTATTTAATATATTTAATATCTTAACTATTTCTATATAATAACTACTAGTATTATTATTATTATAAATAATTAGTTAATAAAGTTAATAATATATAAGCTAGAAATAATTAGTTAAGGGGCAGTTGTGACCCTGTGTGTGTGTGTGTGTGTGTCTGTGTCTTCACTACACTGTGTGTGTGCACTTGGATGGGAAAAATGCAGAGCACAAATTGCAGAGTGCAGAGAGTGTGGCACACCATACTTGACCACACGTCACGTCACTTTCATTAATTGTTTTTGAGTGAGTGCATGATGACAGAATTTCACGTTCATTTTTAGGGGGAACTATTCCTTTAAACCCTCATACACACTCACACACACACACCGTGACCCCTGTGACCCATTTCCCCGAATACAGGCTGGTTAAATTAGCAGCACCTGATCCGTAACTGTGTTCCTCACAGAAATCTTCACCGCAGGTTCCTCATCACATGCTCATCATTAGAGTCAGCGGCATGCAAGAACCACACACACACAACACACTTTCACAGATGCACACACACACACTCTCACAATACACACACACACATTTACACACTCTCTCTCTCACAGATACACACACACACACACATTCTCTCACAGATACACACGGCTCGTCCAAATCGGGATACACCGTAACATCCTGGTGTAATTTTCCATGCACTCCAGCACACAGTGAAACACCTTAAAGGGATAGTTCACCCAAAAATGAAAATTCTGTCATGAATTAAACCCGTAAGACTTTTCTCACAAATTAGGATATTTTTGATGAAATCTGAGAGCTTTCTGACCCTGCATAGACAGCAAGGGAACTGAAACATTCAAGGCCCAGAAAGGAAGTAAGAAGTAAGAAAAAATAGTCCATGACTGACTGACACACAAGAGAAGAAATCATTAAATAAAGTCATTATTTATTATTTTTTTGCGCACAAAAAGTATTCTCATAGATTCATAAAATTACAATTGAACCACTGATGTCACATGGACTATTTTATATATATATATATATATATACACTATTCTTTTAAATAAACAGTTATTCTTATCTTAAAATGATCTAAAAGCGAGAAAGAGAACTCGTGC